GATTGCCCGGCAGCGTCGCCCGCCTCCGCAGTCGGTTGGTTCTCAAGTGTCCGGCCCCCCTCACCTCTTCCCAGACTTGGCTTCATCGGCGGCGGTCGGCAGTTTAGCACGCGCACCTCGTAGCTCGCGGGCCGCCTCCGCGCGGGTGTCTGTTCGCTGGCTGGGCTGGCTGGGCTGGCGTGATAGGCCTCTGCTGGAAAAAGGTTACGCTCGCCGACCGACAAACGGAACCACAGCAATCCGTGCGCTAGAGATCTCCGGTCGATCTACAACGGAAGGACGACACCATCAAACTCTGAATTGCTCACCGCGAATCCTGACACAACCCCTCTTCTCCGCCGCCCTCAGCCAAGAATTTCAAATCCAGATGCCGAAGATGAGGCAAAGGAAGTCAGCAACTCGGGAACGTCGAATGATCCTGCGTCACAGTCTATGTGTAGGTAGGGCAAGCGTCAGGTGGTCCGAATGTCTCATGGCGGTGAGGATGCCAATTGGCGTATCAAGAGGCCGAGTAGCCGTGCTGTGCATTGCGCGGTGCAACACACTCTGCCCATCGTAACATTTCGCTGCAACGCATAGTACTGTACGCGGGCAGTCTGATGTCTGGGCCAAGCCCGCAGACGGTCTTTCTCCCTGGCAAGTGTGGGGGGCTGTTTGCTGGCGCTCGAATGAACGGACGAAACGCATGATGGTTCCGAGCAGCCCCTCCATGGAGTCAAAAGGGTTCTTGGGGTCAGGGACAGGGATCCATGCATTTGGCCGTCTTGGTCCTGTCCCCCCCAGCACGGTTAGAGCGCCCAGGCGCCGGCGAGTACAATTTCTGGTACTGCCGCCGACAGCGCCGCAACGGCCATGGAACCATGCAACACAGTGATGACGATCCGGGGTCCAATATCGAATCCGTGCACGGCCCGCCACAGATTAGATCAAGTGTCGTGCACTCATTAACAGAGCTTTTGAATTCGCAATCTTGTTGTCCTCGTTCACAAGACGCGAGGGAAAGACTGCGTTGTTCTTGAACAGACCGCGTAACCCTCGTCGCAATGAGGCAGTGCTCGTCTCGGAACAGCTGGACACTGATAAGATTCCTGCTAAAAGATGTGGTTCGCAGCTCACGCTAATATGCGTCCAACGGCACTTGCGCTTAGTGAAGCGCAGGTGTGGTGGTTTCCGGAGGCCGGAGGCTCCCAACGCGCCGTCTAGGATCGCCGGGCTGCATGCAAACACTTAAGCAGGTAGTGCGTGTGTGCGCTCCAGAGCCAGTGCCATTGGCTCTGTGAAGGCGAGGTGATAGACCTGCATGGCTTCAATGCGGAGTGTCTTTTTTTCATGTCGCAGACACCGTCTCATGGTTACGCTGAGCTTTGCGTGATACCGAAACAAAATCAGACGCGCGACACTTTGTCGGCTGACGAGATGTCCGTGCAATAAATGAAGGTCGAAGTTTTAGTCCGTTGGCTTGTGAACTCAATCAACCTCAGTTGGACAAGGGTTGCACCGACCTTGCGATGACAGGTCAATGGCAGGAAGATCATGCGGATAACTAAGTGCCACACCCTACACCATCTTCTATATTTTTGGAGTGAACACCTACACACAGGACACCACTCTGATTAGTCCCGTGTGCTAGTGTAGTAATACAACATCTGGGCATGCGCCGCCCACCGCCCACTTATTAGACAATCACCTCCAATAGCTCTGTCTGCGCGCAGCGCAACACTTAAGCAGTGTTTGGCAGAGGAACCTTGGCGCTGCATCAGAAAGCCTGACTTTCTCAGTCTCTGTCGTGCTGGCGTGGCGTGCCTGGATGTTGTTGCTAGGCTCAGCGCATGCAGACCTTGACGGTGAGCAAATCGGCATCGTGATTATTGTGCGCCACACCCATTGCGCGGAGGGTTCGGATGGCTGACTGGCTTCTTTGGCCTCCCGATACGAGGCAGTAGACGCTAGTGAGGACCATTTCTAAGATGCGGTAATACACGTGAGTGGGCACAAGCCGCTGAGGCTGGCTGAAGGAATCAGTGGACACTGGCAGCCTTGATTTCTACCTTCACAAGGCTGAGAGTATGGATGGCCAGCCCGAGAAAATTATAGAGAATATCATGTGCTTTGCTCAATCCGTAAGACAAGATCCACCCAAGGATAAGAGATTGTCAGTCCTCGGACTAACATTTCTTGTGCACGGTCTGTGCCTTAACTTGCCAAACGAGCTTGTGGCCATGAGGGTTTGGTCATGCCTCTGCGCCGGTATTCAACACGTGCTTGGGTAATTATATTGAGGGAGGAACAGAGACGGGAGGTATCGCTCGATTCGGAGTGCGAGAGCCCACGTGCCCCGTGGCCCTCACCTTCAACGTACGGTTGAGCGGTCCCACTCAGGGACACTTATCAAATGCGGAGAAGACGTGATCGATGTCGTTGATCAATTAATCAGATTAGCAAATCGCCAGAATCAGTGACCAAAGGGGAGGTATCATGACAAGTAAAGAGGCTGAAACGAAGGCGAATGCGACAACCGCTGTCGCTCTTTTTCCTTGCTTGAGCCGGCTTCGAGTCATGTATTCGGGAGAGGAGTCGATCCCACTGTGGCGCGTTCAAACAGAGATAGGCATCTATGCCCAGCGTACGCAAGTAATAGCGGGGATGATGATGGGGATCATGTACACGGCCAGTTGTCTGTGTGGGCCTATGGCAACGTGCCGCACACGAGGGAGGGCCTTGAAGTGTGCAATGAGGTCGTTTCGAGCGTCCCTGACTGGCCATTGATCCGAACGAAGACGAGGAGAGAGAACGACAAATGTCATCGGTGCCAGGTCATGGGTCCCCTGGTGGCTCCGCGGTACACCACTCAAGGTGGGGGGTTGCATGAGAGATCCATAGATGGCTCTCCCTGGCGCATCGTGGGCTTTCGCAGCGCACGCAAGATGCCATGCAACATGAATGCCGGCCATCCCAAACCGCGACCACTGGTGGATTCGGTCGTGTGGAGGCGATGACATAGTTGCGGAGCCTGGAATATGTGCGTCCAGCAACGATTGGTTTTCTAGATGCCCTTGGGAACCATGTGGTCGGCTCATGGCCATCAGGTCGGCTCATGGACCGTACAGGTCGCAAAGAAAGGACACATTCGGTAATGCGACCTGCGGTTTGGATGTACAGTGGCGTCGACGGTCCGATGCTGACTGCTTCCCCAAGAAATCGGCGGCTTATGGTCAGAGCTCTGTTCAGCACAAGGATCATGGGGAAATGATTTGCAGACGTTGTTTCAGGGTCCATTCCAACTGTCCAGGCGACGCAGAAGCGGACGGTGAGGCTTCGCTGAAACGGGCCAGCTCAAAGGGCTAGACGGCTACCACGAGCGGCCGGTTGCCGGAAGAATTGCGCTGCCTGGAGTTCTGAAAAAAAGTTGTCGGAGCCAACAGTCGGCCGACGGGCGCCAAAGCTCGTCTGTCCAAGCCGCTGGCCCGTCAGCATGTCGCCCAGCAATTGGTGTTGGTAGTGCCGTCTGTTGTCTTGGTGAAGCACACGGGCGCTAGAAGGCTGGCGAATTGATGCACAGCAGACACCAGTCAGGGTCTCCCCTAGGGGCCCTAGGGGACAAGGTTGGCGCGGTCCATGGAGCGACCATGGCAAATGGACCCGTTTTCTTCAGCTGCATGGTTGCATGGGAAGGAAGATCCGAAGGGATTTGTCGTGTCTGCGCGTCCGGGGACCGGGGCCTGGATGGAGCAAAGCAGCCATGGGATGAGATAACGAGATTGAGAGAGCGAGTCTGTGTGCACTCTCGGCACCCTCGACCATTCTGAAGAGTCGGGCCTGTCTGTGCGAAAAGCCAATTGGGATCATCAGTACCAAATGCACCTGAAGAGCGGTCAGAAGCAGATTGATGTAATAACAAAGCCATGTATCGGGGGCCGTAATAATGACAACAGAACCTGCTGTTTGTACAGGCAGACAGGCAGACAGACAGACAGACAGACAGACAGACAGACAGACATAAAAAAAAGATTTTCTTGAAGGCGCGTGTAAGTCGGTGTAAGCCTTGGTCGCATTCTGGCATCCTGGCGCTCTGGCCTGCACGATGCTGCCCCGTACCCGTCCGTTGCCCACCGGTCTTAGTCGCGCGTTCAGCACCAAGGTTGCTTGCGGGCGGGGCACTCATGGAAGGATCCCAGAAGCCGACTGACGCCATCAATCCCAAGTGGCACCGCAATTTGACAGGAGAGCCACTAACGGTTTCTGCATGAATTGCTCAGACGAGAAAGTAATGAGAAGAGACCAGGGAGCTCCGAAGCTCAATAACACCAGTGGCGTGTCAATGAGCTGAGAGTAAACAAAAACTTTTTTGTCGGGAGCTCCATTGCCTTGGTGATGCACACACAACCCAGGTGAAGTCCTACTAGTAGTCTACGGCCTAGTGTTATACCTATCGACAGTAAACACTCGACAGGTACAGGTACGTATCTACCAGCTTACTGTGACAGACGAGGCATGTGCCTTGGTCGCCGTGGAAGGAGCCGGCTGCATCCTTCCTCAAGCATCAACATCGCCAATTTTGCAATTGCAACCTACTAGGAATCTGGAAGGGGAAGGAATGAGGCTCTGGGGCAGCTGCAGCTTGCAGATGCAGAAGTTGCAAGTGGAACAGTGCAAGACTGCCCCTGCCAACCTGCCTGTTCAACAACTCGAGGTGGAGAACGGGGAGAGACGGACGGTGGTCATAGTCACCCTTGACGGCCAGGGACGGACGGCATCTCCATTCTAGACTATCTATCGTATCGACAAGACAAGACCCATATGCACACAATATCTTTTCCCCAGCTGTCGAGTCGCGTCGCGTCGCGGTGTCGCCGTTGCTATAGCCGTTGAGAAAGGGTGAGGCATCATAGCATGAGGACAGCACATCCTCTGCCGGATATGCCTCGGAGTCAATGCCATGAAGACGTCGGCTAGGAGCTTCCTTGGGCCGCTGATCTGATCGTCTCCTCGGCCTCAGTCCGATGCTGTTTCCTGCCGCCTGTGCAGCCCCCGTCAGCCCGCCACTCTCGCCTGTCCAGCTGCCTCCGGCGCAAATATCAGTTGACCGCAACATTGACCGATGCGTTGCCCGTGAGCGACAAGTCAGCAGCAGCAGCAGCAGCAGCAGCAGCAGCAGCAGCAGCAGCAGCAACATCATCAACAACAGTAGCGTCAATGAGCAGTAGGGGTAGGATTCTGATGTGCATTTGGCGGCAGGGACGGAGACAAGAGGCCTGCCTGCATCATGCATAGGGGCTCAAATCTCAACGTAGTCTTGGCTCTAGACCAGCTGTCGTCTTGTCAAGGACTCAGACATGCATCTCGTATGTACTATACTCCATGTACGTACAGTATGCGTCTGTAGTTGAGTCGGTTGACTCTGCGGATGCACAACCTGAGTCTGGCGAGTCCGCCCCGGCTTAAGCCCCCAACGCTCAACCACCCACCCATACAGTAGCATCCATCCATCCATCCCACCATCCACCACCCACCCACCCACACACAAGAGTTACTGTAGCGCGATGCGACTGCTTATGCAGCCTCAACCTTCCTAGCATCCTCCGTGCGCGGATTGGACGGCTGACCTGCTCATGCAGCATAGAAGAACCTTTCCGGCCCTTGCGGCGGCAAAAAGTCTAGAGACAGAAAACTGTCGTGACCCATCTAGAAGGCCATCGAAGTCGAGACCGTGGTGGTCACTGGTCAAGGCGAGGGTAATCTACTGTGTGCCTTCTCCGACCTGCATGCTGCGCACTGCGTATGATCATACATAATAATAACCTGGAAGCATTCTCCAGTTATCCGAGACGCTAATGTGAAAGATTTAGAGTGCGAACTGCGTGGAACTCGCCCGAGTCCGGGGAGGGTGACATCAAGTAAACAAACGGCTGCCTTCTCAAAGGCGGGAGAGTAAGAGAAAGAGTACATGGAAGAAAAAAAAAGGACTAATGTACGGCGGGAGATGAGCAGCCTCAGCATCTCGTACCCGTACAACAGCGGCGTGCACAAGGCTGGAAGTTTAGCCAGAACCTCTTTGATCTTATTTGATTGAATGATTGCTTCCGAAAGATGGCATGTACTGTACTGGACTGCATCGTATCCACAACCCACCGCGGCTCGAAACCCACACATTTGTGTGTGAGTGAGAGCGTGCGTGCGTGTGTGCTGTGGGTGCTGTGGGCCGCGCAAGAAATATCACCGCTCACAACCCAGTCGACGAGCCGACCACACGCAGGTTGTAGACAAGAAGAGTCTCCAGAAGACGCGCCCCGTGCACTATCAGCTACCTGGCAGTCCCGCTAGGCAGGGGGCCCCTGAGCAGCTGCACCCTGAATCTTGACTGGGGACGTTGCTGGTGCCGACCCACCCTGCCACCTCCTACACTGGCATAAGACTAGCTCGACGCCTACCAGCTGGGAACGGAGAGCCATCCAACTCTTGCCCCCTCTCTCCTTTCCCGCCCCGTCGTCGCAACCGAGAGACCAACCATACAACACGGTACAAGTCCTGTACACAGTAGCGACCGAACTAAACAAGGCGGTATACCTAGCCCTTGTCGTTGACCCTCTCTGCCTCCCCCTTCTACACCACCACCTCCGCCTCCGCCGCCGCCGACTGCTTGGATACTCTCTCCCTCCTCCTCCTCCTCCTCCTCCTTCACCACCTCCTTCGAACATCTTGCTCCCTCTCTGCAGTCAGTCATTCTCGTCACTGTAACAAGTGGACGTCAGGGCCGGTCAGTTTGACTTTGGACAGTCAAGCCAGTAACTGTGAGTCTGCATTTGCTTCCTTGTGCTTTCTTATCGCGGGCTCGCCGGTTGTCTTATCTCCGGTGTTTTGCTTTGTCTCTCCCCTCCCTCATGCCCTCTGCCACCGTTGCCCGGATGATTCACCTCGCTCGGTTGCCTCCGGTACGCCTTGCAGCGAGCCGCGTGCCATATGTGCCTCGAGACTGCAAATCAAGTCTTCAACAAATTCAACAAGAGCCCTGCGAGGAAGAAGCAGGCTCTTGAAAAAAAAGAAGGAAAAACAAAGCGACACAATCGAAACGTCTGGTCGGCGTCGTCCCATATGAACCCTTCTGTCCCTGTATTGTCCCAATCCCGGATGCCCAACTGTGCTGGCCTTTTTTGTCCACTGCGTGTCATGTCACAAGCACATCACGGTGTGAACAGAGTCGAGTCTACTGCTGTGCTTTGTCACTGAGGCGACTGCGGCGTGTGTCTACCTGGTCCAAAGTACACCGCAGCCCAGCCACCGGGTGCCTCACACAAACAAAACAATCCTCCGAACTTGGGCCCTCAGCCTCTCGAAATTCGACTGCCTAGTTGCTGGAAACATGCCCTCGACACCGCTCTCGTGACAATAGCCGCCTTGAAACCTCGAGGGCACGCTTGAAACCCAACGGATGACGGTAGAAAAGCCACTACCGGGCCCTTCTCTCGAGGCCCATCCATCTCCAGCCCACACAGCAACCCACGGCCGCGACCCTGACCACGACCACGGCAACGCCCCGCACCCTGAATCCTTTGCATCTTTATATCACCGCAGCACGACGACCCGCCGAGCCTCTTGTTTCCAAAGGTCCGACCCGAAATCTTAGGCACTGGAGGACCACTTCTGGAGCTGGATATCGGTACAACGCTGGCACGGCACACCACCATACCTCAGTTCCCATCGCACTACACCTGGCTCCAGTCGAGTCACTTGCTTGCAATCGCCCTGCTTCACAGCCCCTTTCTCGTGAAATAACTGTGCCGCCTCCTGCGCGCTGTACACTGACAATACCACCTCGCACAGGCTGCTTGCGACCAACCGCCGCCGCAGTTGCTCTCCTGAATTTCCCTCCTTCATCTCCTCCGGGCCGTCCTAAAAAGTAACGAGCAGACCCTCACCTTCTCTCGGCATTCTCCCGCCTCGACCTGCTCTCAAATTACTGTTGCCGCCCCCATCGACCTCGTGACCCACCAACTCGTCCACCACTTGTTACTCCTACCCCCAATGCATTCCCAGAAATAATCATGGACTCAGAAGACGGAGAGCTGTTCATAAAGGTACGTCTGGAAATCCTGAGCCCGCACATACGGTTCCTTAGTTGTCGAGTATCTTGACGAGGTCCAAGAAACTGACTTTGCTGCGTTGTCGTAGCAACTGGCCACTTTCGTGCGCACCCACGAAAAGGCCCTGGCCAACGCTTTGCAACTGCGAAGGCAAAACCCCCCTCGACATGGAGCTTCACAAAGCGTTTCCGCAGTGCCGACCGCAGGGCTCACGACTCCGACGACCATTCCCGAACGACCTTCCACTGCTGCAGGGCCCTCTTCGAATGGACTCGCCGCTGCGCTGTCCTTCGGCTCCCTGAACTTCACGTCTCAGACGGCCAAATCAGCAAAGTTGGCTCTCACACCGCACCACCTATTCTACCTCCTCTCGCGGTTCGAGGAGCTCAAGATACCCGTCGGCCCCATGAAGGTGCGCCTTGAGAATTTACATGATACGAGTACATCAGCGAATTATGTATCGTTCCTGAGCCAGTCACAACGCTCCAAGACTCGAAGCTCAGAGGTCGGTTCAATCCGGTCCGTGTCCAGCATCCGAAGTGTCATGTCTGGGATGTCTGCACTGTGGTCGAATTTTGGCATCGGATCGGGCATGTCTGCTGCTCGCACTGAAAGACAAAAAGCTGCTCTGGACGCCGACCTAAAATATCTGTATTCGGCATTCACCAAGGTGCCGTGCCTTCGCCTGGCACCAGACTTTCGCGCTCGGCTTATCAAGGGTTACGAGGAATTCCCCTTCGACTCAGCAGTACCATTACACATTTTCAAGAACTGCCAGGCGCTCGAGGTTAGCGACATCGACTTTCGGCAGTTCTTCGGCTGGGATCGCATGGCGGACCAGCTGAGGTCCCTGACAGTCAAGCGAGCGAGCCTCACCGACCCTGCTGATATTCTCATCGACATCGTGCTTGACGACATGGATAAAAGGAGACGGCGAACATCGAAGTCACATTCGTCACCGACAACAACATGGCCCGGAACTGCTAGCCCACGGCGGAGTATGACGCTGGCGACTCCTGCCGAGTTGAAGAAGTCAACTTCGGCACCGGGATCGCCGGGTACACGAGCTGCAGATCTGAATGTCGGCTCCATAGGGAGCGAGGCCGCTGTCGACCATGAGAACGAGCTTGCCCTTCGGAACAGCAGGCGAGCCTCTGTCGCTGTCGTCGAGGTACCTAAGTCGCCCACAAAGAGCTCACGTCCCAGGAGCCACTCTCCCAGGAGGCCCGCTAGTGCTCGGCACGGTTCCCATCACGTCCGCGGCTCTCACAAGGTCCATCGCTCAGGCTCCGGCAGCTCGCAGTCGAGCATGTCCGATTCCTGGCACCACAACCGGGGCAGCACTTCAAACCTTCTGTCTACGGGTGCGCTTCCGTCCTCAAAATGGCGTTTCTTGAGGCATCTGAGTCTCGCAGAGAACGGCCTTGTCTCGATACCCGAGGCCAGTCTTGCGCCTTTGGCCAATACACTCTACTCGCTTGACCTGTCCTCGAACGAGTTCAACGAGATCCCTGACAGCCTGGCCACGCTCACTGCCCTCCGGGCTCTTAACCTGTCAAAGTGCACTATCGAGTCTCTCCACTCGCTCACGCGCAATCCGCTGCCGGCAATCACGGCATTGAACCTGCGGGACAACCGCCTTCAATCGCTGGCCGGAATCGAGAGACTGTATCCATTGGAGAGGCTGGACTTGAGGGACAACCGTCTGACAGACCCTGTCGAGCTAGCGCGCTTGACGAGAATTCCTGACATCCGTGAGATTTGGGTCGAGGGAAACCCTTTCACCCGCACGCACAAGGACTACCGTATCACAATCTTCAACTTGTTCAGGCAGTCGCCTGGCTACACTGAGGATGTTTTGATTGACATGACGGGTCCCACCTACTCGGAAAGGAAGCATCTAGTTGAACGTACCCAGGAGCCAGCTCCGGTTCCTGTCATCAAGCCTCCGGTCCCGGAGTTGAAGGCGGTTGACGTGAGCAAGCCGGCGATCGTCTACGACAACCCCAAGGAGCCCTCGGTGCTTCGTAAAGAGCGCCCGGCGCCAAAAGCGACCGCCAGTGAGGTCAACACCAACTCCACTCGGAGCCGTCGCAGAGCGCCAAAACGGCGCATTGTGGATCTGGCCGACTCTCAAGCTCATGTTGCCAGGCAGCCAGGTGAAAACGAAGCAATGGGGGCAGTGACTGGCCTCGATAGCAACTACCGTATTTCACAAACCACCGAGATACATCAAAACAACCCCAACGTGGCAGAGGAAGGCCGGACCCAGGCGAGCCGTGGTGTCCCCCGCATCGACACATCTGTCATTCCCAAGCTACCACCTGTGTCGCCTACCCAGGAAATTGGAACGCCCACATCGTGGACGGACTCCCAGAAATGGGATGTCGGAGGCGAGATGTACCGGCGCAAGATTGAGGCCTTGCGAACTCAAGTTGGCGAGGGCTACCTCAACGTTCTCAGTGAAGAGCACTGGGATGTGAACGGTACACCTCACTTTCCGGGGTCGCGTTTCGGACATCCTGACTCACCAATGCACCCAAGTCCGGCCGTACATCGACCAACTCTGCAACCTATCCACAGCGGTCGCACACTTGGATGAGCGCCACGCGCTACACATTATTCACCACCCAACACACTCCAAGTCCACGACAGCCGATTGCGATGATACCCCAACCCTCCGAACTAAGGGCAGTCTGGCTGCCGAATACATACATCCCGAGTCATTTTCGAAATACCCAAAGTGTTTTTGTTTTTCAAAAGAACAGCGCGCGGCTTCATGGTTGGCTTTTTCAAGATTCATCATTTTCACCGGAGCATAGCGGAAAAGGCGTTTTCATGGTTCATCTCACTTCTCCTCATCGACCTATACTACAAAACTACAAGACTCCATCCGCCCGCCTACTAGTGCGTCTCTATCCACCCACAGGGACGGCCATCTGCGTAATTACGAGGCTACGTACGACTTGGCAACGATGTTCATGCCAGCTCTATGATTTTGAGTCATCAGCCCATTCGGCTGTGTATTTTGCGTTGTCTTACTGTTTGTCTGGCCCCGGTGTCATCCGGGGTCCGAGGTTGACGGAATATCCAACTTTTTTTTTTCTTTTTTGGCGTGTTTATGGCACTGGTAGAAAAATAGTCAAGAGTCACTGTTGCGATTCGGCAATCCCTGGCTCAGGACTACTGGCTGGCGTCCAGGTTCTTCTCTTCGACGAAGATATCTCTTTATGGCGGGATCTGGCGTATCGTCGTGTTTGTCACTGTCCGCTCCTGCATGTTAGCACGACGGGTTCTGCATCTGCGTTCTTCGTTGCTCAAAGGTTTCCACGAGTGTTTTGCTTGAGTTCAATTCGGTGTGAACATATTTCTGAAGCGCTGCGCTGTCTGATTGGTTGCCTGGCGAACAGGAGAGAGTCTGGAAGAGAAATGCCTGCTTGTCTGTTGAGGGTTTGACTTGCCAGAGGATTTGTTGGTACCGTATTTTACTGTATGGTATGGGCAGATGATAGATAATTGGTCGGCCTTAGAGGCGGTCGATCTAGGTGGCCTGGATGGTCAAACAGAGAAATGATATCACGGCAGAAATAATTCGCGTTCAATACTTTTGACCCGGTGTCTTCTTCGTGGCTTGCCCTCTTGGTTTGAAAGGGTCCCCTGCTGTGAGATGCAACGTGAGCAAGATGCGTCTAAAGTGAGCAAAAGTTGCTTTGAGAGCATCCCGGGTATGCAGGTGCTCTGAGCCAACTCATCCCAATACACATCACTACCAATCCGTTTGGTACTAAACATACTTCATTGAGCGCAGTAGCTGGACATCAGTCAAAGGTCTGCCTGGCTGCCTAGCCACCCAAGTGTGAGTCAGCAAGACTTCACCCTCCATGTTTCCTCTGTCCATTAACCAAAGAACACTTAGCTCAAGCCCCAAACCTTCTCTCATCTTCTTATTTCAGCCATAAGACTGACCTGGCTCGACATAGACTGCATCGATACCTAAGAAACCAACATGGTCTCCCTTCTGGACTGCCCGGCCGAGCTGCGGCAGCAAATCTTAGACCACCTCATCCCGAGCGAGGTCCGCGACGCCGGCGCCGCCCCAAGGACGGCACCGCTGCTCCCGCTCCTCCTGGCCTGCAAGAAGATCCGGCTCGACACCCTCCAGCTCCTCAAGAAGTGGTCACCAGTGTACCATTTCGAGCGGCCGGCGACCATCCTCGGGGCGCGGTGGCGGCCGGACGAGCCGCACATGCGCAACATCAGCCTGCGGCTGTTTGCGGACATGGACCTCCACGCCGCGCGCTACATAACGGCCTTCGGCGCCAGCGGCGTGTTCGATCCGGACTCGTGGGTCCGGTGCGCGACCTCGCTGCCGCGGCTCGCTGTCGAGTCCGTCGTGGTCGACCTCACTGCCGCGCCCGCGTGGATGGTCGCCAGGCGGCCTGACTGGGTGCGTGGCACGCTGCTGGACGCACGAAACAGATGTCTCCTAGATAATTGTGTTGTAGAAGTTACGGCTATTGTCAAGAAGGTGAGCGAGGTCTACGGACCAGGGGTCCCGGTCCATCTCGGAGGCGTCGTCACGCGCAAGGCGAAGAAAGCCGTCGACGAGATGCTGGACTGGGCGAGGAAGGAGGCGGGCTGTGTGAATATCGCATTCGTGGGTGAGTGGATCGCTGGGCCCAAAGAGCTACCCACCAGACTGTCGCTGGTACTTTTGTGCCGCTGCTGGGGCATGAAGCTGGAACAGCCAGCGGTGGCGCAGTACGATACGCCGAGGTGGATTCAGATCCGCAACGAGGTAAGTGTTCTGGGGGGGATGTCCTTCTGGGGTGAAAACGGATGGGCTGACAGCGGACGGACATATCAGGCGCGCGAGGCAGGTCTGACAGTGCCGGATGTGGACCTCAAGGCCGTGGGGCTGGTGAAGTGGTCTAAGAACTCTTGCACGGCGTACTACGTCAACGCCCAGGTGGACGAGGAGGGCACGCGGTCCGAGCTAGTGCGCGTGCTCCGCTTCGCGGTCGAGGCGAGGACCGTGGGCATCCAAGGTGACGTGGCTATCGATTTCGAGCCGGCGATCAGGGAGCGGCGCTTCCTGATCCACTGCCTCGCCAAGGACTTGGGGCTTACGAGCGTGAGCGTAGGGGGCCCAGAGGAGAAGTTCGTAAGATTATCGCACGCCGCGAAGCCAGGACTCGAGGAGAAGCTGGAGGAGAGACTGAGTACTAAGGCTGAAGGCAGTCAGGCTAGTACCTGTCCCCTTGGCCTTGAAGCGAAGCATTTGGGCCCATAAATGTAGCACTGCTGAACTAATTGTCGGTCTTTTTCCAGGAGATGTGCTAGGGGTTTCGTTGAATGCCTCGCTTTGACATTGTGTTATTGTATGCGGATTTCTGGATAGCTGAATGGACGTGTTGGTCGAGTGAGTGCTGTTGCTTATGCATCGGTCGATGTGTGAAGTCTTTGGATGAAAGATTGAGTACCGGCAGTGAAAGCCATTCGATTGAGTCCCTGCGCTCCTGCCCTCAAAACCCATCTCATCCCATCTTTTCCCAAAGCCACTTGGCGGAGCGGTCAAGTCCCCGGGCTGCTTGCGGGTCAATAGTGGTCCAGCGAGGGATCAAGGTGGGCAAGCTGGAGGGTGGCAACCAGGGTTCGATTCTCGTCTCTGGTATGATTTTTTTTATCTTTCTTTTTTGATTTCCTAACTTCAAACAAAACATACTTCATATTGCTACCTAGCAGCTGACCACTTCGGTCGGCCAAGGCTAGTCGTCGTGGAACAACTGGTATGTACAACTTACAGTCATCTACACTCCTGTGCGGCTCTGAGTGGTGCGGACACCTCGCGCTTGCTTTGGGATAGAGACTCGGGACTGCTTACACCTAGAGCCCTGAATCATGAAAGATCGATCTTTTGTCCAGAATCTCATTCCGCCCTGGACCGTGAACTCATCAAATGCTGGGGATTCAATCGTTGTAAAAAGCCTTAATGTGTAAGAGGATTGCACTTCATCAGATTGATTAAATGAATGATGGTATGGAGGAAAGGCTCTAGGAAAAAGAGAGCTGGATGATCAGCCGTCAAGACCGGGACATAAAAGAGACAGAAAATGGAACTTGCGCAAATCTGCGAATTGGCCGTGCTCAAACGAGAACGGACGGACCAAGAGTGGATGTTCCCAGCAAGGCTAGATAAAACAGCGAGACAACAATTTACCAGAACAGGGTCTGTGGGAGGCGTAGGGCAGAGCTCTCATGTTTGCGTAGGAATGATGACTCGCCCCGTCATGAATCAGTATTTCGAACGAGCAATTGAGCCTTAATACACGGGTCTTGGGTGTGATGTAATGGGCATGTTGTGCGCTGAATGGAAGTGGGGATTTTGCGGGAAGCGCTTGAGTCCTGAGCGAAGGGTAGGAGAAGAGACGCAAGGGGACGGTGGGTTGATGGATGACCATTGGCTGAGGAATGAGTGGTGAGATTGACGCTTGCTTTGTCCACTGGCATTTCCTCTCGTCCCTGGGGGACGAATCATGGGGCGGCGGGTCGACAAAAAGGGGAATTTAGTTTCGAGGACCGCATTGGACGGCATCAAGGCTGCTTGGCAACGGTCAATCGCCTGGTCGGTCCGTCGGGAAGCTAGGAGACATATGGCAGGTGTGTGGTCTAAACCGGGGAGGTGTGGTAAGACGTTCGGGACGGGAGGAAGCGAAGGCATGGGTGCATGGGCGGGCGATGGCGTGCATAGCATGGCGTGGGCATGGACATGGCATAGATCTCGAGGGCCTGGGAATGCTTGTAGTAAGCTTCGTCGCCGCCATCGTTGCAGATGCGGGTGCAGGTGTGAGTGTAATTGCAGGTCCAGGTGTGGGTGGCTGGCGCCCAGCACAGACGAACGAAATGATGTGTCGTTCGATTGGTGACATCGCGACAGAAGTAGAGAGAAGGGATTGGAATGCGCAGCACCACCACCAGCAGCATCAGCTGTGGGTCTGGGTCTGGGTCTGGGTCCGGGTCTGGGTCGACCACAAACGAAGCGACTGCATCTGCAGTGCCATGTGGCGGCTGCTGTGGAGGGCAGGGGAGTAGCGAGGTCGTGACCTGCAGAGGAACCCCCATGTCCTCCCGTCCCCAGCACAACACAGTACGACCCTAATTTTGCTCGCTCGGAAAGCTGCCGGGCCAATTGCTTGTCTGATGGGGCGCGAGTCGCGAGATCCAAGACGCACGTCACGATCCGGGAATCTGGGGTAAATCGAGAGGACCCTTGTGGAGACGTGCAGGTTCCTGATCGGCGTCGCATCTCATCGAGAATAGCCTCGAGGCTTGGATTTCAATCACAGACTTTGTGTGCTGTGCTATTCGCTGCTCCTCCCTCCCAAAGACTAGGGCGCTTGATTGACTCTGAGAAGTACACTGCCGTGTATGCTGTTGAGTACGTGGGCAATTGACAGCGAGGGAGACGGAGACAGAGACAGAGACAGACTGATTGAAAATGAGATACCGTTTGAAGTAGCTGGGTGTCTCGTTACGCACCAAGGTCAAATACAACAGAGACTCTGGATACAAGGCAGTATTGTACACCATGATTCAACAGTCCCTCCTTCCTCTGTTGTTGCGTTGCAGCTGCAGCGACTCTGACAACCTTAGTCCCTTCTTCCTCTGCTGCCCCCTTGGCCCCTTGGTGGATGACCGACAATTGATTGACAGGGGTGGGGTAGCTTGTTCCTGACTACTGCACTTCGCGCTCTCCTAACGCTGCACCACGGAGGGTACTTACATAAGCCGGCAGGTGGGGACCCACCTTCCTCGTCCTTTTCCCAGGCAGCTCGCGCCTTACCTAATTGGAGCTGCGCGCGTTCGACCTCACCCCAATTCTCCCTCTTCGATTTGGCCATCTGTCGCACTGCATCCATCCTCCTACCTGAACCACATCCACTCGAATACATCGCGCGAACCCTTGGATCGCTGCTCTCTCCAGCGATCACTGCCTCTGGCCACTCAGACACGTCCGACCCGATGCCAGTTCCTCCTCATGCCCTCCCGCAGCCTCGCCCCCGCCACCCCTTGACGACGCGCACCCCCACACGGCGATACTCTCCCTCCGCGTCTGCTTGATACACTACAACCCCCGATAAAGGTGCCATGGCATCTAGGCCTTCTACACCCCGGAGCTCACGCTCTGGCCGTGTGGCAGGTCGTGGTAGAGTAAGGGCCCCGCACGACCCCGAAGAACCACCTCTCAAGAAGAGAAAGTATGTCCCAGGAGGCCCGGGGGGCGGTGGTAGATTTGTTCTCGACGATGGGACTACCGAGTCCCCAGCTGGCCCCTCTAACTTATCGACCCCGCCACGGCCCCGAAGCGCCGCCCGCAGAAGCTCCAACCGTGCCACCGCAGTCCTCCCCCGAGAGAGAAGCACCCGCCTCGGCGCCGCTGCCAACCGTTCCATACGAGGCGATGCCGAGTTCAGCTCAGCTGCCGCTGTTGCAGCGGCTGTCGCCCAGAGCGAAGGGTACAAGCCAAGAGAAGAGCGCGGCTGGGAGGAGTTTCATCCCAATCTTGATATTGAGGGGACATTTCTCATGTTCCACTCGGAAGACGTAGACGGCACTAGGAAGGCAACACCACCTCCTGCGCCCTCTCGCGCTTCTGTCAACGGCGTCAGCACCCCGTCAAAAGATGCTGAGGGTGCAGTCGCTGGCGGCGCAGGTGACTCCACCGCCCAGCCAGACGGCACAGCACCGTCTTCCCAGAATCTGCTTGAGACACCCTCGCGGCGGCGACCTCGCCCGACCAGAGACGCGGTGTCCTTCTACGCCACACGATCGGAGCTTGCCTCCACTCCAAAGACACCTAAGGTGCTGTCGACCCTGAACCAGACCCCCAAAGAGCGTCTCGACCTCAAGAACCCGTCATACCGCAAGACAGATCGGATACTGCTTTTCGAGAGCAAGACCTTCGGCCAGGCGAAATATGTCGAGAAAGCCATGATGAACGTGGGGTACCAGGAAAGCGACAATTTCATCAGGCCCGAACGCGGTCTTCTGAAGGCCAGCGACGCCCATATCGACGAGGATGTTGATCAGTTACTCGGCCAGAAGCCTGACGGCGAGGTGGTTGTTTCACACAGCGGATCTAACCTTGGACGCGTCGAATATGATATGGATGAGCAAGATGATATGTGGCTGGAGACACTCAACAGTCAGCGGAAAGCCCACGGGCTCGAAACCGTCACTCGTGAGGTCTTCGAAATCACAATCACCAAGATTGAGAAGGAGTGGCATGCCTTGGAGAAGAAGATACCGAAGCCAAATCCGAAACCTCCCCAGACTCACAGGCCGCGGTCTAGCTCTGCTGCAGCCGTGAATGGCGAGACACAGGGCGGTGAAGAGCAAGACAGCAAATGCGCCATTTGCGATGACGGCGACTGTGAGAACACAAACGCAATAGTCTTTTGCGACGGATGCGATCTTGCGGTGCACCAAGATTGTTACGGCGTGCCGTTCATTCCTGAAGGGCAGTGGATGTGTAGAAAATGCCAACTCGCTGGGCGTGGCATCCCGGTAAGTGATATATGCATTACTATGAAGGCTCAACTTGAAGAACTTGGCTGACTGTGGGCCATTAGACTTGTATTTTCTGCCCCAATACCGATGGTGCATTCAAACAAACAAACTTTTCCAAATGGGCGCACCTTCTTTGTGCCATCTGGATTCCTGAAGTCAATTTGGGCAACAATGTTTTCTTGGAACCAGTTATGGACGTCGACAAGGTCCCCAAAAACCGATGGAAGCTCCAATGCTACATCTGTAACCAGAAAATGGGGGCCTGCATACAATGCAGTAACAAGGCTTGTTACCAGGCCTTCCACGTTACTTGCGCACGACGCGCGCATTTGTACCTGAAAATGAAGACCCCGCAGGGTGCCCTCGCGCTGGATGGGGTCTTGAAGGCATTCTGTGATAAGCACTGCCCCCCAGACTATGACAAGGAGCATGCTGTCGCTGCCGCCACCAAGGATGCAAAGAAGTTCTACAAGCGGACGATGAAGGGGCGCATTTGGGCCGACAGCCAAGCTGTGGCTCAGGAACTGGCTGCCATTCATCGGAACGCAATCACAGAGCATCCTCCTCAGGGGTCACAATTGCTTGGTGATAAGCTTTCAGGAGCAGGCGACAAGAAAAAGGGTCAGTCCGGCAAAATATGGAAGTTGCCGTCAGGGGCACCGGTCATTCCGCAGGCAGTCTTCGACCTTGTTGACAGTGGCTTGGCTCGATTTGCTCTCCGCAAGAGAAAGGAATATGTTGCCGAAGCATGTCGCTACTGGACATTGAAGCGAGAATCCCGTCGTGGTGCCGCACTCCTCAAACGTCTGCAACTGCAGATGGAGTCATTCTCATCTATGGAGCTCACAAGGCGTGACTTCGCAGCCATGGGCCCCTCGGGAAAGACCCGGCTCGCCAGGCGTATCGATTTTGCCGAGACCTTGCTGAGGGACCTCGAGCAGCTGAAGTCTCTCGCGGACGATGTTGTCGCTCGAGAAGCGCAGAAGCTGGAGGCAGCAGAGATGGAGCAAGACTTTGTCGACTCATGTTACTTCCCCATTTTCAAGTTGCTCGTGCCTGTCATCGGCAAGGCTGAAGCGTGAGTACTGCCTGATACCATGAAAAATAATTATGTACTGACACATGACCAACCAGGCTCGATAAAAACGTCTTCAAAGATGGTCTGCTACAATTAGAGGCCAGGTTCGAGAAGCGCTTTTACACTACGACTCTAGCATTTGCTCACGACCTCTGTGAGGTTATTCATGTGGGCATCAACGCCGAGACAAAGCCCCTGGCTTCAGACCAACCCAGATTTGAACCAATTGATGTGTCGCCTACCAAGAATAATAACCCATATTCGGAGGCTAGAGACCGCAAGAGACTCGGCAAGCGTATTCTCAAGTCGGTCCAGCCACAGCTGGAGGCTGCTCTTAAAGCGGAAGCCGACATCACTTCGAAGCCGTTTGAAAGTCTCCTCAAAGAGTTAGAGGGCATGATCGACGCTTCTTTGGAGATCCGAAAGCCTTTTGGTGCCCAATCTCAACCAGAAGCGCCCACACAACCTAGCCAAGATGTCATCATGGTTGACGCTGCCGAGGATGGTCATATTACAGTCGCGGAGGCTGAAAATGGCCACACTGGCACTGGCGACGTCGCGGAGAATGCTGAACCGATGGACGTCGACGATCAGAGTATCGAAGTCAAGGAAGAGGAGGCTGCACAAGCCAACGGTGGCATCAGTGAAGATACCAACGCCGTTGGGGAGGATAGTACAGATCAAGCGGCCAATGACAAGGCGCTGCCTAGCCTTGTGAAATCTGCCCCTACGCCGCCTGACACGAACGGCTACGTGCCTGTGTCCCAACATTCACAGCAACCCACGCCTCTGACACCCCCGCAGTCCAACGGGAGTCTTGGACGGGGAGCAGACAATACCCTTACCGAAGGTGGTGTACCATGGTACCTTAAGAACTTCGAACCTGAGGGCACGACAGCCATCGAGGAGCAATGGGCAGGCCGAGACGCTGTGCGCAGTCTTAGTGAGGAGCTGACTGATATGGACGAGGAGGAGCTCAATGATCTCGAGTTCAACGTGGAGGATAGCACCATCACCGCGTCGCCTGTTGATGCGCCGCTGGCTGTCCCGTCCGGGTCATCGTCGGCCAGGAAGCTTCGCTACGGCACCAGCGCCGGGTCCGGTAATTCAAGGAAACGATTGCGATCCTCGGGGAGACGACGTTGAGTAGAGATCTGCGGATGGGAATTTTTAGACTGGATGTACTGATAATCCGTCGCTTTGATTTTTCTTTCTTTTTTGCCCTTCCGTCTTTCGTTGCTTTCTCGTCGGGAGACTCGTTTCCCTCGCCTCCTTCCGGCTCTACCTTGGATGGTTTCAGTATACCAAATGTGTTTTTTTTATTTTATTTCGAACAGTGCTCGGAGTGGTATACATTTCTACGGCGTCAGGAGAATGGCTCGGCATACAAAACACCCCGCTGTGTGGTATAATGGCCTCTAGGAAGTTGCAAGTTGGTTTTTGAGAATGGTGTTTTTTCCCTACGGGGGCATCACTTCACGGACGGAAAATTTAGCATTGTGTTTTGTTTGTGCAAACTTCATTTGCTTATCGCGTGCAAGAGAGACGTCCGGTTCAGTGATTCTTGGTAGGGGGGCATGACTGGTCCCTCGCGGCCGAAGGTTTTTGGGATGCTACCACGGTGTGCTGTGCGTGCCAATACAGAGACTTCGATTGTCCTACTACTGCTTTTGCCTGAATGCCTGCCTGTCCACCATCCTTGCGGTGTGGATTATTGTCGTGTGGCTCTTGCCTCTCAGTTACTTTAGATGGGAAGTAGCAACTATTGACCCTATATGTCTGCTCGTATTCACCAGCAGTAGAGCGACTCGCTGTTGTGACGGCCTCCTTGATCACGGGAAGATAGGAGAGCAGGCCGTGTGTGCCGTTTGTTTCCGCTTCGAGGACAAACTTTTTAGATCTTCTTTTCTTCATGTATGCTCCGGTCTGTGCCAGGATGGATGCCGATGAGCTGCCCAGGCTTGATGATGTGATTGGGCCATGATGTGGCGACGCGGAAGTGCGTGCTCGCCATATCAACGTATGGAGAGACTGCTCCAGTCATTTCCTCGGACCGATAGTGGCTTCCAGAAGAAGCCATGTCACCGGAATGAGGCTGGTGTACAGGTGTACAGAAGGAACTATGGCTCTTGACTGCGAGGCCCTCAGGTCTGTCAGGCTTGGCCTCTTTAATGAACTGTTCGTGTCTCCCTGAATATCGTGGCAGATGTATTCTTGCGCATATCTTTTATTTTCTGGGGTGTTCGTCTTGGGCCGTCTGGCTATTTTAAAGGGGCTTAGAGACGATCTCGCCCCTCAAGTATTTCTGCGTACAAAGAGATGTCTTCTCATGGGAGTAAGGACGGGCATCTCGGGTCTCAGAAGCCAACAGTCCCCTAACTCCTAGTCCCAACATGGTCTTTGGAGTCAATCCTGATTGTGGAAATATACTCTTCCTGAGTGAAACCTCCCCCTCCCCCCCCCCCCGCCAAAATGATCTACCCGATCTTTTTATTCTGGTCATCTTCTGTTCAGAGCCGTGCCTTCTTTCCAGAACGACCGTGTCGAAAGAACGTTTACGAAATGCCTTTTTTGGGTTTCGCCTCGATGGTGGCAGCACATTTTTTCACCAGCGTCTCCTCGAGGATGGCCTGCCGGTCTGCGTCTGGAAACCTACGCATGCATTGCCTTTCCCCACATGGCTTCTGCCTCGGGCAGGTTCTACTGGCGGATTGGAAATTTTCGTATTGTTGTGTCAATATAGCCATATATAATCAGGGCCAAGGATGCGGTACAGGGGCTCCTAAAGGAAGAGGACTGGCTGGTGACTGAAGTACAAGAAAGTGGTGTCTAATTTCGATGACTACGCATGATCTGAGGGACATTTGGCTGTTGCCGGCACTCCTGGGTGTTCTCATCATATGTCCTAGGAGTAGTGTTTGTGTTGCGCGCAACAGCTCAGATGGCAACCAAGATCGGGACAGGGCTTTTGGCCAAGAGCTTTGGCAGTAGAAGCGTCTCGCTCTGTCTCCATTTATGCTCGTGCTCGGAAGTGTGCCATTGTATTTGAATCTGTGCTTCTTGGCTAGACCAAGGCAGGCCACGCTCGCAAACTTTCTAAAGGAACCGGTGGTCTTCACTTGAGATGTTACAATTGATGAGAATGTTGTGAGTGAGCTTCCTTTCTTTGTATAATCTCGTATATGAACAGAAATTAGGCTTGCTATCAATACGGGAGCCTCAATATTGATATTCTTGTGTGGCTTTTAAAGGTAACGACCACAACTCGCGAGTTTTCTGCTAGGGTCGGCGACCTCTTCTTATAATATAACAAGTGAGGTACTCTCGATTGAGATTTGGGTCATTTTCAGACTTAGCCTGGTCAAACAGAGCATATCTCCAAATTCATTTCCTTGATAGTAGTCAGGCATGTAATATCCAACGTTGATAATCTTGTCACGCTTACGGTTATTGCTGTCACACGACATCCCCGTCGTTGCTTGGTGACGAGCGCCCTATCCAGGCCAAATTGCCAGGCTCTCAAATCCCTATTTGTTTTATTGCGGTTCAAATTGTTCTTCTGCGTAAACTTTTGCTTGAGAACACACAGGATTGTTGAAGCTACAAGTAAATAGATCGTGATGGGACTTTGATAGTTTTTGCTAACGTAAACTGCAAAAAGGTGCATGTTTCCCTAAGAGATTGAGGTCTCACGATGTTTGTTAAGCAGTTCAAAATAGTGGACAGTGAATAGAAGTCCTGTATCTTTGTGATTTTTCTATTTGTGGTTTTGAGCAACCATTGTACTAGCTTGGGTAGACGAGATGAAAGAATATAGTTCATTTTACTGCGCAATACCAAAGTAGAGTCCACAAGGGATAGTAGTTTGATCTAGCAGAATACGAGCGAAAGAAATAGAAAGCTGTCTATATAGATACTGATTTGTTAGTGGAATGAACAATAAAGTCTCGTAGTAACCCCAAGCACGCAAAGACTAAGTGTGCTTCTCCTTGTCACTACACCACATCACTATACCAAGACAGAACACCGAGACTCGCTACCTACCCTACTGAATTAGCTCGACTGGCAAGATTGGACCATTTCCAGGCCCATCTTCCTCGTCGACTGCAACACTCGGGACTTTGAAGTGTACTCCATCCCCGCAACAACATGGAATGGCCGTTCGGAGACAACCGAACCCAGTAGGTTAAACGCAAAAGCTTGTACGATGGCGAGGGTGCTCAGACGTCCTGGCAAACACTCAAGTCGTCGAACCAAGATATGCACTGCCAGCCTAGGAACAGGCCTCTGACGCTTATCGGTCGTGGTGGTGCGCGTTCGGATGCCTCGCCTTGATTCTACAGCTATCGTGGTGGGTTGCGCTTTTATCTCGCACGTCACACAGTCCAAGAGCCTCTGAATCGACTGATATAGTGCCTTGCGTCGCAAAGCAGGTGTTAAATTAAGTTGGATTGGAATGTGGGAATATCTTCCGTATTTATGGAACTCGTCGACGTGCTCGGCCTCGCTCACGCCAGCTTAGCCGCCAGATGGCAGCAACATCGAAGACCATCATGGTGCCTAGAGGGGGTCCAAAAGACAACCGAGAGGCCAAAGTTTTGACATTTAATTCTCATCGTGATGGGCTCGATCTCAGGACCAACGCCGCCGTCCGGGACGAAGGCCTCGTGTGAGTTGCTAGCCTCCTGACTGTCACTGCTGCGTCGTCTCCAGTTGCACTGGCGGAAGGGCGAGCGGATACCGGAAATGAACCAGTGGTCATTCGCCCCTGCGGCCCGAACGCAGTGCACATGTGAAAGAAGTTGACTTTCCTTGACTCATGCCTGTACATTGACAGCAAGTCTTGATAATGAGGATTTGATCATGGGTCACTACTGGGAGTAGAGTAATCTAGAGCGATGCATAGTGGTTGCTTGGGACTGAACGACCGTGGCCGCGTCAACCCGTAGCAGCCGTAGCTAACATTACCACAAGGGATGTTAAACTTGTGTTTAAACTTGTGCGGTTTGCTCGGCCCTGGTGAGGGGCCCTGACCCTACTATCAATGAGCAGGAAAGCATCGAGTCGTAACACGTCGAGTCGTAACACGCGGGTCGATATTGGGGAAACTCTCATAAGCAGCATAAGACAGTCTCGAGAATGTAGTCTATGTGGTGGAGCCGAACTGAGGAATACAATACCTTGCAGACCGCCTCTCCGGAGATCCAGATGTCGCATACCTAGCGAATTATGGTCGATTTTGGTGGCAAATGCTCTCTTCGCCCTAGGATTCAGCCGGCAGTTGGAAGCTTATGCTAGCCGCACGTCATGTATCTCTCTGCAGTCGACAGCAGAGCACCATTCTGGTGAGTGCTATGGCACCCGCGAAGCAGGTTCGCACTATCTGTGAATGAAAAGCTAGCCACACTGTTAGACTATAGTGGCCATATACAACCTATATTCGACCCGTCAAGAACACTAGAAGGGGGTCCCCGATCTTGGGTCGCGGACAGTCGAGAACAGTCCAGACAGCCGGAACAGCACAGAGCGCGTGGGACTCGGTGACCCACCAATTGGCCTCTCTGGTCCGAGTTTTGCATTTCTAGTCTGTTTCGGCCATGCAAATGTTGAATGTTTTGCAGGCGTACCCGCGATGATCACCCAGGGACACGTAGCGCACATTGCTGCTGAATGGCCCGCCAGTCAGGGAAAACGGAGCGTTGGCGGAGCACATGCTGTCATACGGGCCGGTCACACGGAGGAGAAAGCGGGATGAGAGGCCGGGGTTGGGGCGAGGGGCAAGCCACCCGAGCCTGCGGCAGGCAAACCTTTTGTGACGAGACTGCGCAACTATGCAGTTTCAGAGAGTGAGGTATGGCACAGGAGCCCTCAGCATGTCCTATTTGTGCCTGGCAATCAGCATTTGTTCTTGTGTCTTGTGCCACAAAAGCAGTTCCAATGTTGGGGTAAGCGGCGGGCTGCTGTGAGCCCCCAGAGAGCGACTCTGAAGCTTTATAGTGGCTTCTCACCCACACAGCTTCCACACAAGTCACTGGCTGCGCTAGCCCTCAGTCTGACGCGCGGGCTTGTCAGACTGGCGTCAGCTCTGGGAGGAGTCACTGCAGCTACGGTCGCGGACTGCGAATAAGACCGACCTAAATGCGGTC